GGCCATGCCGCAATCCCTTCTCCTCCATTCTCCTCTCGGGATCTTGGGCACGCATGCACACGCACCCGACGTGAGTTTAAGCCACCGGGTCCGGGACTTGAACCGCGGTTGACTACGTGGCAGTCCAGAGACATAGCCATTATACTAACTGCTGGTCCCCTTGATTGATATTTTTGACAAATAATAAAATTTAGACAGTTTGCCCTTCATGGTTCCTTTTCTCTAGCTGCCTTGTGACTAATATTAATACTTCAGAGACATCACTAAACCAGAATATTAATTTTCAGGGAAAAAAGTACATAGCAACTCAGTGACTTTCTGGAAGTTACAAAGACAGACAATGGTAGAGAAGACTAGAACTTATGCCTTTAAAGTCTTATTCCAGTCTTCTTTCTATATAATGTCTTATTTCAGCTGTAGTATAATGATAGCTAACTATTATGAGGACTCTGAGGTTTTACAACTTCTTACATGCCATCTGAACTAGATACTAGGAAATATTCCTAGGAAACAGGTTCTGGTACAGAAACTGGGGAAAGCACGCAGTGTTTGCAATTTTGTATTGTGACAAGTCACAAGGACTCATCCAAGAGCATATCCAAGAAGGAAACTTCATTTGTTTATGCCCTCATTCATGCATCCCTTTGTTCAAACATCTTTTGAGCTCTTTCTGTGTGGCAGGCATTGCGTCAGCTGGACTGAGAGTACAGAGATAAGATACTATCTCTTCAAGATAGTCACAGACAAGAGAAGCAAACTGAACATTAAGGAAATACTTACAATGAATAGAGTAAGTACAACTCTAAATGACAAAGGTAAAATGATTCACTGATTTAGTTTTCTGAATTATTAACTTTATCTCAGAAAATAATTTTTTGTCACTAATTAGTGATTAGAACCTTTCAAACATTAGAGACAAGTATCATAAAAACCACCCAAAACAGTCACCTTACCATATTCTAGTCCATCAAATCTTGCCATATTCGATGCTACTTCTGATGTGCACAGTATATGGTAGCAGACAATTGAGAAACTGGTGTGGGGAAGGGATACTTCAATTACTTTGGCCCCTTCGGATTCAAAGAGATCAGCAGCTTTAGACCAAAGAGCTCGTACTTCATTGGATAATTCTGGCAAATGATATTCCTTAGAGGAAAAAGTCAACATACAGAAATTGGAACATCTGTATAGATGGTTTTATAAAAATTTGTACTCCTGATCTTTTGTAATACATTAGAACATTTGATATAATTGCTGGGGATAGCTAGAAAGATGGAAGCCATCTCAGGCTGTGTAGAGAACAGGTGAAGTACTAGCTGTCATGCACTGGATATGATGACGTGAAGACTGGAAAGCTGGTTGGAGACAAATGCTCATTATGTATTCGGTACTCCGCTAAATGTTTCAGGGGCTCTCTCATGTAAGGGCTTTTATCAAGCCCTCAATTTAAGTATAATCATCCCTTATTTTATTTATGAAAATACTAAGATAAGTAATTTTCTTAATGTTTCATAGCAGGTAAGTAAAGGATCTAAAATGCTAGATTAGGTCTCTTTTTAAAACCTCTGCCCTCTTCTTAAAGAAGAAGGCACAGATTTTACCTTTTGGAAAGGCAGTATTTCTCTATAGTAATAATCCCAGTTTGGACTAATTTTTAACTCCTTTTCCCCAACCAGGGTCTATTTGGTAATATCTGCAGATGTTTTTGGTCGTAGGATAATGGTGGTGGTAGAAGGGGGTGTTATTGGCATCTATGGTGCTACTAAATATTACAACACGAAAGACCATTTACCCCCAAATTATCCGGCCCATGTGCCAATTGTGCTCAGGGTGAGAAACTTCATTATTCTGCAGGATAATTTATCTTTCTAAGAGATTTCTAAAAGGTTTAAAACATTAATATAGTTATGTTTAAATTTTTTGAAGATCAATAATTTAACATTATTGCATGCATACAGGAATTATTCATTGCTACTATAAAGAGTACAGTAGTAATAATAATAACAAGAGTAACAATGATAACATGTATTGAGGCCTTCCTATGCCAGGGATGGCCTTACATTAGGAGTTGGTGAACTCTGACACATAAGTCAGATGTGACCCCGCCAGCTGCTTATAAAAATAAGTTGTATAAAACACAGACGTATTCTCATATACATATTGTCTATAGCTGCGTTCTCATTATCAGCAGAGTTAAGTAGTCGTAATAAAGACTATATGGTGCACTAAGCCTAAAATGCTTACTATCTGGCCCTTTATAGGAGGTTTAAAGACCCCAGCTTAGCCCCTGCTTAGCTAATTTAACCTTCACAAATCTGAAGGCAACATTTTTATTATTTTGATTTTACAGATGGGAAAATTGAGCTCAGAGATTAAGTCATAACTCAAACCACACAGCTAATACAAGTAGCAGAGCAGGGATTCAAACTTAACCATTCTGCCACCTCGAAAGTGTCTCTGAATTTGATTTGAAGTACTTCTGTAAAGGAAGGAAAGGAAGAAGTTACCTTTGGGATTCCTATACATAGTTTGCTCACATCTGTCAAAATAGGAAGTGTGAATGGTTTAACAGGATCTTGTACTGTGGTAGAATCCCTGGGGTCATGTCCAGCCAGCATACCTATAAGGAGAAATCCTTAGAAGTGGTGGGCATATTATTTTACAGTGAAATTGCTTTAAATGACATGGAATCATATAAATACCCAACACAATTGCTGCATCCTCCACATATCTGGTTAAGATTCCTGGTACATCCATAGAGTTCACCAACGGAATGAGACCATGACGAGAAACCAAGCCATAACTGGGTTTGAGGCCAACAAGCCCACAGTGGGCTGCAGGATTTCTAGTTGATCCTCCTGTATCTGATCCTAAAGCCCTGGAATTTAAATGGAATTCTCTTTGAAGAATGACATATCCATTCTATTTGGAATCTACCCTTTTAAATGTACATTTAAAAACTGTATTTCCTCTTAGGAAGTTCATATAGCATAGAAAAGTATAAAGAAGTAACTAAATATTCCACTACCCAGAGGCAAATCGGGTTAACATTTTGGTACATTAACTTCAAGACTTTTTCAAAATGCATTTTTTTCATAGTTGAGATCATTCTGTAATCATAAGTTTCTGTCCTTTTTTATTTACCATGAGCCTTTCACTATGTCATTAAAATCACTAAAATTAAATATATTATTCACTTACATAAATTTGGGATTCTCAGAATATCCCTCCCCCCTTTTTTTGGTGGGAGAGAGAGAAGGAAAAGGAACGAGCTCGAGACAGGTATTTGTCACCAGGCCTTCTGTGTTGTGCCCTTACTGCCCTAAGCCTTCTTCTTAGCTAGGATCAGAGGCATAGGCAGTTGGATAGACATGCACAGCCAGGCCTGGGGTGATTTCCAGTATTGTAAAGTCCACTCTTTTGTTAATACGCATATAAATTTTATACTTTCTTTTGAGGTTATTTGGTATTTAAAATCTATCAAATTAATATTACAGTATGAAGGTACTTCAAAAAGTTTATACAATAAGGGGAATTAAAGCATGAGTGTATTTTGGTACAAAAAATTTTTGAGGGCCAGCCCATAGCCTAGTGATTAAGGGAACGGGCCCCACATGCCCAACCATGGTTTGAATCACAGTCCTGGTGACTTGGAAAGCATGCTGGGTGTACATGTGTACCAAATTCTTTTAAGCCATCAGGTCTGAGACTTTAAGTGTGGTCGGCCATGTGGGGGGTCCAGCAACATAACGGGTACACTATCTTCTGGCTCCATAATTACCAATTTTAACAGAAATAAGGTCACACTACAGTGTTCTGCAACTTGCTTTGTCCTTAGCAGTGTATCGTGGCTATCTTTCCACGTCACTACGTAGTGTTCTGTCTCATGCTATCTCGTTCTTTCTACGGCTACATAGCACTCCACAATCTTCCTGTTTTCTAAAAAAACTATAATAAAACCAAAAGGGGGCAAACAAAAACACAACACTTTACAGTTTGGGATATATTCAATATGAGGTTACTTTCGGTCTGTGCTTCTGTTGATCGTATTTCACATGAAGCGGTGGACTGAACAATGCCCCCAGCAGTAACATGGCACTTGTGCTCTACGGAAAGTGCAAATTATACTTCCTTTCTTACCAAGTCCATGTAAGCTACAAAATCAGACTGCTGCTTACACAATTTTTAAAGATACCTATTCTTATTAGCATTCACTGACGGCTGTGTAAAAGTAAACCCTACATTTCCATAGGAATTATGTGTCAAAATGCCATCTTCTCAAAGCACATTCAAAAAGATGAACACTAAGGGGATGATGAGGATAGAAAAAAAGCACCTAATCCTGCAGTCCTTACTTGTCAGAACTCTCATTAATATTAATGCGATGCTATGAAATTCCACAGAGATAAAGTGAAATGGTTTTACTTGTTAACAAGATTTCAGGAAAATTAAAAAAATATATCTGTGGAAACTAAATCTCCATAGCTCTAAAAAATAATTTATTGATAGCAATGCATGTGAAAGAGCTTAGTTTTAGTGGATAATTAAGGAGAAATAAAATACAGTATTATTAAGGAAACACACTCAATTTGGTTAAATCAAGACTAACAAAAAACACAATAGCTGCCATATTTACTTACTCTTTAGGTGGTTAAGAAATACTTTACAAATGGATTTTTATGATTCTTATCTAATATGAAGTATGACAAACAGAATCAGCTCCTAGTAGGTATGAAAAATCTTAATGATATACACTTTTTTTTTCCTTTTTTTGCTATAGGGCATGTGTGTTTGCTGGAAAAACAGAGAGATAGAAAGTGAGAAATCACTCCCTAGGGGGCATGGCCACACCCACCATCCCTTCTCTTCCATTCTCCTCTGGGGATTTTGGGCAAGCACACACATGCACGCAGTGTGAGTTTTAAACTGCCAGGATCAAGACTCAAACCATGGTCAACTACGTGGGAGTCCAGTGACATAACCATTTTGCCATCTGCTGGTCCCCTGATATACACTTTCAGTTGCAGATTTATGAACACACTATTTAAAATATTCTATTGATATGTAGTAGGAGCATTTTTTTGTTTTCTTCCTTTCCTTTCCTTTCCTTTCCTTTCCTTTCCTTTCCTTCTCCTTCCAAAAGTCAGAATGAGCTGAAGGATAAATCATTCCTAACTTTTAGCTAACCAGCACTCAACTAAAACCAAGGCATATTAGTCCCTACGTACACAATTAGTGAGCAGGCACTCAGATAATTTAAGAAAAGAAATATAGTGAAGCCCATTATATACAATGCTTTATTTTGCAAGATCCATAAAAACATGCTTTTAAGAGAATGATACTATAAAGGAAAGTTTAAATGTTATTTTTAAACGAAAATGAAATGTATAAAATATATAGTATACTGTACAGTTGAGAATATTTATAAAATATAATTTTGACACTCTTTTGAGCACAAATAGCTCACTGAAAATAAAAAAAAAAAAAAACAGGGTATAAACTACTCCACTGTTGGATTATACGTATGATTTCCACTATTTGTATCTGGATGAGTTCTAAAGTACAGGTAGAAAACAGTGTCTTACACAAAGCACGTGAATGCTGAGACGGCAGCGGCGCTCCCGCCGGAGCTTCCTCCAGTTATCAGCCAATTTGAATCTTCTTTCTCATCATGGGGCTTCTGCTGCCTCTTTTCTCTGTATTGTTTTGAATAACTCCAGGGGTTTTTAACTGGTCCAAATGCACCATCCGTGCTTCCAGATCTGAGACAAAGAATTGAAATAAGACACCTTTGTGTAATTTTCACTTCAAGTGAAATTTTCATTTTTGGAATATCTGATTTGCTTCTGATGCTCATTACCTTCCAATAAATATAACCTTCATTAATGAGCTGGTTGAAGAGTTGTATAACACAACGGGCAGTAAGAGTACTTGTGCTACAAATAGAGAACACTAGTCTGCTAGAAAAACTATTTTATCCCAATGATCACCCAATTCAAAAGATGATTTCTCTTATAAATGAAAGCCTTCCAATTATGAAAGGGTAACATATATTCAAACAGTTAAAAAGGCTTTTGGGACCAGCCGCAGTGGTGAGTGCTGCTAAGATGCAGTGCTCTGCAGGCTGGGTCCACCGGGGACACCAAGGTCTGATTTCTGGTCCAGCCTGCAGGCTGGGCAACGCGGTGTGGGCCTGCATTTGCAGCAACTGAACTGCCTGAGGCAGGAGGACTGCTTGAGATGGACCTGGGGAACATAGCGAGACCCTGTCTAACAAGAGCGAGGCATGGTATGTGCCTATAGTCGTAGACGGGAGGCACAGGAAGGGTGGGGGCGGGGGTTGCAACATGACCAAACCCTGCCTTAAAAAAAAAAGAAAATAAGTCTTGCAGAGGGACCAGCAGTTAGCGTAATGGCTATGTTGCTGGACTCCTATGTAGTCGACTGTGGTTTGCGTCCCGGACCCGGTGGCTTAAAACTCAAGCCGGGCACGTGTGTGTGCGGGCCGAAGATTCCGAGAGGAGAACGGAGGAGAAGGGATTGCAGCGTGGCCATCTCCCCGGGGGGTGATTTCTCGCTTTCTGTCTCTCTGTCTCTGTCTGCCTGGAGAGCACATGCACCCTATAGCAAAAAAAAACCTCTCTAAAAAAAAAGAAGTCTTGCAGAAACCCATCCCTTAATCAAAATTATTAAATTATTAAAATAATTCATTCTCATATAAATTGAAAAATAACATGTAAAACATTTTGTACCTTCTACCCAGTTGTACCTATTGTTAATAATTTATTCTAGGGCCAGCGGGTGGCATAGTGGTTGGGACACTGGATGCCCACATGGTCGACTGCAGTTCAAGTCTTGGACCCAGTGGCTCAAATCCTACCTTCTCTCTTTCTCTACCCTGCAAGTGCACCCTATGGCAAAAACTTAAAATAAATAAATAAATGAATAAATAAATAAATGTTAAGAAAAAAATTTATCCCATTTTTTTATCCTTTGTCTGCTGTGTGTGTGTATAATGGCTCTTTATCCCTAAGAATTGTATTTTAGTATGTATTTACTAAGAATAAGGATATTCTGTTATGTAGTTATAATAGTTCTCTTTTGCCTCAGGGCACGTGTGCTCCCTGGAGAGACGGAGAAAGTGAGAAATCACCTTCAGAGTGACGGCCTTCTCTTCTCTTCTAATCTCTCAGGATTTTGGGCAAAGATGTACACAGGCCCTGTGTGAGTTTTAAGCTGCTAGATCTTTATGTGCATGCCTGCCCAAGATTCTGAGAGAACAGAGGAGAAGGGATTGCGGGGCGGCCATTCCCCCAGGGGCGATTTCTCACTTTCTGTCTCTCTCTCTCTCTGTTTCTCTGGCAAACGCACATGCCCTATAGCAAAAAACTCTCTCTCTAAAAAAAGAAAAAAAATTGTGTTGTTTGTCTTATTATTGGGTTGTCAGAAAAGTCATGATGCATTTTTACATTAAAAAAATATATGTCACGACTTTTCCGACAACCTAGTATTAAGCTGTAAAAAAAATTCTTTCATATATTCTGGATTCAAGTAGATTATCAGATAGTTGATTTGCAAATAATTCCTAAAGTCTCTGGCTTATCTCTTTATTCTCTGAACATGCCTTTGAAAGATCAGAAGTTCTTAATTTTAATGAAGTCCAGCTTATCACTTTTTTATTTTATGGTTAATACTTTATGTGTCTAAGGAAATCTTTATCTGACCCAAGGTCACAAAGATTTTTCTACTAGAAGTTATATACTTTTAGCCCTTACATTTAGACCTGTCATCCATTTTAAATTAATTTTTAATGTAGGATGTGAATAAAGTTCATTTTTTAACGTATGGATATCTAATGGTTTCAGCACTGCTTATAAAAATAGAGTATCCTTTCCCCATTAAATTACCTTAGCTTACTCTTCAGAAATGAAACATACACACATGTATAACTCTGTATCTGGACTCTGTTCTGCCTACTCTGGTATCACACCATCTTCGTTGCTGTAGCTTTATTATTATATTATATTATTATTATTATTTTTGCTATAGGGTGCATGCACTCACCAGAAATAGAGACAGAGAGAAAGAGAAAGGGGGAAAGCATTCCCCAGGGAAATTGGGCCACACCACAATGCTATACTCCACTTCTCCTCCAGGATTTTGGCACATACACGCACAGGCCCAGTGTGTTTTTCAATTTGCTGGGTCTGGTACTTAAATCACAAAGTCAACTACGTGGGATTCAGCACCTTAACCTCCACACCATCTGCTGACCTTATTGTAGCTTTATAATAAGGCTTTAAATTAGGTAATGAGATACTTCCAACTTTATTCTTCTTTTTAAAAATAATTTCACATGTTCTAGGTCCTTTGTGTTTCCATTTAAGAATCAGCTTGCTGGGGCCAGTAGATGGTGTAGCAGTTAAGGTATTGGACTCCCACATGGCCAACGAAAGTTTGAGTTCCAGCCACAGCAGCTTAAAATTCAGGACAGGGGCATGTGCGTCATGCCCAAAATTCTGAGCGGAGGATAGAGAAGGGAATGAGGTGTAGCCATTCCCCCTAGGGGATGGTTTCTCAGTTTTCCTTTCTCTGGCTCTCTTGGGCAAGTACACATGCCCTATGGCAAAAACTTAAAAACGTAAAAAAGCGAAGGGTTTAACTGACTTTTTATCAAACATGATATACACACATGAAAAATATGCTTAATATCATTAGTCATTAGAGAAATGGAAAATATCTATTAGAGTAACTTAACAAAAATGGCAATGATCAGGTATAGTCATGCAGTCTTTAACAATAAGGGGGTGTTCTTAGAAATGTGTAGTTAGACAGTTTTGTTCCTGTGTTACATCATAGAATGTGGTGAAACAAGCCTAGGCAGTCTTGCCTGCCTGCCTAGGCTGAGTGGTCCATCCTTTCTGTTCCTTGTGGGTCTGCTTTTGTACCTATGGCCCTTTGTTGACTGCAGTGCTGTGTGGGCAGGACTGGACCACAGGATGCAGACCACCTGGAGTTTTCATATATTGCTGGTAGGGAATGCAAAATGATATAGCCATTTTGGAAAATAGTTTGAGAGTCTCTTATAAAATTAAACTTGTGCTTACCATATGACCCAAAAAGCTCAGTCCAAGAAAGAAAGGAAGAAAGGAAAGAAGAAGGAAATTGGCACTAGGCTCATCAAAAAAAAAAAAAATTGCCTCACTGCTTTTAGATGCCTACATTTAATGAAATTAAAGGCAAAGATGAGAGAAACACAAGATGAAAATCTGAATTTTACTCACCCCATAGCGAACTCATCTAAATTTGTTTTTCCCATCAGTAGAGCTCCCTGATCCAACAACTTCTGAACTACTGTAGCATTATAAGGTGGTACATAACCTGCAAAAAATTTAGTTATTTTTATCATAGAAAAAAAGCAGTGAACACATAAATCATATGCAGAAACAAAGACTTTGTTTTAAGTTTACTTATATCTTCTATAAACAAGTGAGAGAGAAAAAGAGAGAGAGATGAAAGAACAGCAACCCAAACAAGGTGTTGATGCCATAATCCACCCCATTAGCCAGACATGGATGATGGGCAAATCATGCCCAGCATACTCAGGGAGGTCTCCGGACTTGAACCGGGAACCTTTCCTTGTGGGACTGCCTCACAGAGCATCACATTTTACCTCTGAACTATTATCTTGACCCTAAAAAGGAAGATTTTAAATTGTAATTAATCAATTCATATTTACATATGCTAATTATTCCTAATTTCAAAAATCAGTTGTACTTTCTGACAAGAGTTAATTTTTTTCTAATTTTAACTATATATGTTTTCTAAAAATAGTCTGTACAAACACTATTTTTTTTTTTGAGAGGTTTTTGCTAGAGGGCGCGTGCGCTCGCCAGACAGAGACTGGGAGATAGAAAGCGAGAAATCACTCCCCACGGGGGATGGCCACGCCACAATCCCTTCTCCTCCATTCTCCTCTGGGGATCTCGGGCATGCACACACATGCACCTGGCGTGAGTTTAAGCTACCAGGTCTACTTGAACCGTGGTCTACTACGTTGGAGTCCAGCAACATAGCCATTACGCTAACTGCTGGTCCCTGTACAAACACTATTTTGATAATCTAAAAACATTGACTTTAACAGTATAGGGGGCCAGCTGGTGGTGTGATGCTTAAGATGGTGGCTTCCACATGGCCAAATATGTGGTTTGAGTCCTGGACCCAGTGGCTTGCAAAACGTGCTGGGCATGTGTGCATGTGTGCCCAAAATCTCAAAAGGAGGGAGAAATACAGAAGGGATGGTGGCATGACCTTCCCTCACTGAGGGGTGCTTTTGCCCTCCCCCCCCCTCTGGCTAGTGCATGTACACACTGGAAATTTATTTTAAAAAAAGAAAAATAGTATATAAAATATTGCAGGATTGTCAGAGATGTACCCAATTCATTTAAAAATAATTGCAAATCATTTTCTCACTGTACTGGACTTTTTCTTCTCAGATAATGGTATAGCTTATGATAATTTTAATGTATTTCCGGTCAGAAAAATATTTTTATTCTCCATTAAAATTTCTTCTGTCTATTGAAATATCTAGTATATATGCCAAAACAATTAGCAATAGTCTACTTAATACAGGAAACTGAGGCATAATCTTCATAAATAGTACTTTTATATTCTGTCATGCTCTGAATAACCTTTTCCTGTTTCTTTCTCCTAGGATGTAAACATCTTGATAAACATGCTTTCTTTCAACTTACTAAACCGTAAAGAATAAAATTAAGCATCATATACTATGTTATAAGAGATGCAGGAGTCAGGAAATTCAAAAAATTAAAAATTAGTTGGGCTGGCCCCATGGCACAGTGATTAAAATCTTGGCCCTGGAAGTTCGAAAAATATGCCAAATGTGTATATGCCTAAAGTCCTGATGGTAGCGAGAAACAGGAAAGACTGAGGCATGACCACACCCCACTGAGGGATGCTTTCTCTTCTCCTTCTCTGGTGAGCCCAAGTGTTCTCTGGCCATGAAAAAAAATAAAAATAAAAAACAACAACTAGTCAGTAGAGACTAATGATCCTCACAACATCCACAAAAGGAGAGGTAATAAGAACCAATTTTTATTTTTTCTCATTTTATCAATGAACTGTTATCAGCGGTCACTTAGGGTGCTTGTGGTAATTTGTTAAATAGGATTTCTAAAATCCTATGTGAAATAGAATCAATCATTAAGCTGACCCACCTGCAAAGATTAACTCTTCATTCTGAAAGAGCAAATAGTAAAAACGTAACATTCTGACATAAGTATTTCTTCAAAGATGCAATTTGTTTGAGACTATCTTGGTGTTTTAGCATTTTATCATTAACTGAAAAGTACTTATTTTTATAAAATTATTACCGCTCTGATCAGCTAAACGTTACCTTTCAGCATATTTGAAGCACATGTTGTCTCAATGCCAGATGTGCTAAAGTTGTCTTTTACTGCAATAGGAATTCCATCTAAATCTCCAAGTGACTGACCTGCGTTAAGCCGAAAAGAGAGATATTAACATTTCAAAATAGAAAGACATTAATACTACTTAATAACTACAAGTTTTTGACAAAGATACATCTCAGAAATAAAATTTACTTTAGAAATGGTTAGTTGGGCCTAGCTGTGGTAGCACACACTGGTAATGGCTGAGGTCACACAGGAAGCTTGGGTTTGACTCTCAAGGTCACCCTAAATGCCAGCTCTATTGGCATAAGACTGTAGTCCCAGCTATCTGGGAGGCTGAGGAAGGTGAATCATGACACAGTAAGATGCTGTCAAAGGAAGTTATTAGTTGGACATTATAAAGCACCATATATCCACCAGCCTCATTTTTGTTACATCTCATGGCAAGTTCTTTAAAATAACAGAATGTTTTACATTTAAAGCTTCATTTGCCAAATGGTAACTGCTACATCCAATTAAGCTCTTTCTCTGGAATTAGGACAATTAAGTTTAATTAAAAGTAATTTCCTGGTCCAGCCAGGTGGTGTGGTAGTTAAGGAGGCTGGATCCCACATGATTGTGTAGTTCAAGTCCCAGACCTGGTAGCTTGGAGACTATGTCAGACATGTGTACATGCACGCACAAAATCCTGAGAGGAGACTAGAGGAGAAAGGATTATGGCATGGCTATCCCTCCTGGGAGGGTGGGATTTCTTACTTTCCCACTCTCTTTCTTTCTCTCCAGCGAGTATATGCCCCTCTAGCAAACAAAGGGGGGAAAAAAAAGTAATTTACCTTTCTTATATCTTTTCTCTGATTCTTCAGCTTGCTTTAAAGCCATCTCTTCTGATACAGTAATATAAGCATTTAGAAACTTGGTCTTCTTGATAAGTGAGAGACATTTTTGACAGAGCTCTGTTGGTGTAATTTGGCCTTGTTTCAGTGCCGCAGAAACCTACAATATATACAATCCAAAAACCTTTTTACTGAGTCTACAGAAGTTTAAAGTATTATACTGAGGGGGCAAGAAAGTGGGATAAATATAAAATTTTGAAGTGAGGCTTCAAAATCAATCGAAACCTTCATCTGTATTCTTAAATGAATGAAGGGCAATGCATTAATGAGCTTGAGTTGTAGGCCAGAGGACGTGACCTCTTCTCCCCAGCTGACTTAACTTTCTAAGTCAGGCTTATATAAACAATAGACATAGTTTAGGTAAGCCATCCTGAGCAAGGGGAGATGAGGCCTAGCATGGGTTAAGGATAGTTATAGCAGATTATGTGCAAGGGGTAGTAGCTTGGCTGCCCACAGGCATTACAAAGCAAAAAAGAAAAAAAGAGAGAGAGAGAGACGTGAACAACATAAAAGAGAGAGAGAGACGTGAACAACATAAGGCAGGTATTACAGGACTTCTTGGCTCAGAATGAGATCTTTATACCTCTTGTGGAATTCAAGCAAGAGCTACACATTGACAAAGTGTTTATAAAATACAGGTTCAAAAGCAAACTAGAAACAAATGTTTCTGAAATTCTGTCTTTGATACATTAGGAAGGCTGGTAAAGAAAGTGTTAAAATAAACTGCATGATACACGATCAGACCTGTATACTGACAGGAAACAAGGCCTGCAATGAAGCGATGACTGTTTAATATTTCCTGTAGGAAGCAATATGTACTTACTAACTGGATAAAAGGAATGAATAAAAATAAATCAAGATGACACTAAATGTCTGGAGAGTTTATGAAGAGAGAGTTGGATCGGAGGAATAATATTTGTTGAGTACTTACCGAGAGCCAGGTATTGTTGATCTACAGACTTTATTACTTCATTTAACCCTTAAAACCACATGAGTTAGGTATCACTAACCTTGTTTGACCTATGAAGAAATTGAAGCTCAGAGAGGCTGAGAGATCTGTTGGTCACACAAACAGTAAAGGATAGGGAGACTTCGTAATATAGCCACACACTGCATAATGATGTTTTGATCAACCACAAATCGAATACATGACATAAAACAGGCGACACCATGTAGCCTAGGTGTGAAGTAGGCTATGTGGCACTTAGGTGTGTGAGTACACTCTATGCTGTTTACACTATGGCAAAATCATTGATGCATGTCAGAACATTTCCCTGCTGTTAGGTGAAGCCCAACCTTATATCCTCACCACTTCTACCTCTATTTAATGGGAAGTTTCATTTCTTTTTTAAGTTGACTATATTTTCATGGGTCCTATAGGCTTCAAACAATAGGAGTTTGTGTTTGAGGGGGATCTCTGTAAGGATCTGCAATAGAATAGATTATCAAAGCAATAGCATTTTTAGGGCTGAGGATTTTAAATAAGAAAGCAGTGGAACCTGGCCATTGAAAGGACCCTACTGCTCTTTGACAAGAAGAAAAGGACCTGCCTGTGGAGGCTGGGGGAGTGATTCAAGAATTGGGGGGGGGAGGGAGGGGGAGCCAGGCTTGACTTAAAGGAAGTAGTTTAGTAATGGAAAAGACACTTCTGCTGAAGGTTTATATGAACTGTCAGTGCTTTGAAGAAAGGAGCTAGAGAGAAATAAAAGACAGCAGTGTGTTCTAATAGTATCAGTATGGAGTGGGAAGGAAAAAGACAGTGGAAGGCTGGGTAGAAGAGTCAGAACTAGCAAAACCCCCCACCTAGAGCAAGGAGGGCTATCCCATGGTGAAGCTGCCGTAATGAGGAAAACTGTGTCTTCCTTCTGATTTCGACTCCCCTCAAGGCCCCAACGCCCACTGTCCTCCAGCTGCTCTCTGACTTGCCGACTGCAGTGAGAATAGGAGCTATGGAGTTGCGATTGTGGTTAGAAGAGAGAAATGAGATTGACTAGGAGGGCTCCTCAGGACCATTTTTAGAAACTCCAGATTTTAGAAAATCAAGAGAAATGGAAAAGAGAAGTGAAAAGATGCTAGTTAGCTAGCAGGTTCTGAGCCTACGAAGTATGAAAAATAAATTATACAACTCCCCTGGGGCAAAACTGCAGGTGTCATATCAGCATATAAACTTATGTCAATGTTAAAAGTTTTTGTAAAAAAAAAGGAAAGAAATTTTTTCTGGCACTTCTTTATTCTAATGGAAACTCAGCTTTCCCCCAAGGACTACGGCTTCTCTTGTCCTATCACATCACCTGCCTGCGGGGAGGGAAGGGTGTGCAAACAGGTGTCCTTGTTCCAAAATGCCTTTCTCTTCCTTTCCCTCTTCTCAAACATCACAACCTGTCTGAGGCACGTGCTGGGAGATTATGTCCCTCATGTTGGCGGGTCAGTCCAGTCTCCCTGGCACTCCTTCCATTCACTGACAATTTAGCACCCCACTCACTGTCGTTTTTGTTACTGCAGCTTCTGTGGTCATTTTTATTCACTTAGAATGTCAAGTTCAGGGCCAGCAGGTGGTGTGGTGGTAAAGGTGCTGGTGGTTAAGAGTCTCACATGGCCAACCATGGTTTGAGTCCTGGACCTGGCAGCTAGCTTGCTTTCTCACTCTCCTTCTCTCTTTCTGGTGCGCACATGGGCAAATTAAATAATTATTTATAAAAAAAATGTCAATTTCATGTACACTGGTGCCTAGCCTCTCAGTTCCTTGACCTCAGTTCACACAAACTATCCCTTCACCTCATTTAGCTACCAAACAGCCTGGTCGGCACAGACGATCTCATTGCTGGTCTGTCGAATCTCTCCAATCTCAACTCTAGTTATCCTGCAGATCCTTTTCCTATCCACACAGCCAGCAAGAAAACGGGAACCTCAGTCCCATAATCATAAGGAAAATGGATTCTGCCAACTATCATCAAGGTTGAAAGAGGACTCCAAGTTCCAGGTGAAGGTGCGGTGCCTAGCTGACCTTCACTCTTGTGACACTGACTCTTGTGAGAAGCTGCTACTCTCTGCCTGACTTGTGACCCACAAAACTATGAGATAAGAAGATTGTGCTATTCTAAGCTGCAAAGTTTACACTAATCAGTCATGTAGCAATAGAAAACGAATATATTTTCTTAGAAAAGTTAAGAAATCTTCCTCAAGAACCACTCTCCTTAGAAAGTGGCAGGAAAATTGTAAATACAGGTAATTTAGTAATTTTGTCCCTATAACAAAGCTTGTAACTAATAGCTACCACCTATTCTAGGCACTGTCCTAGAAGTGCTGCATTTGATTTATTTCTTATATTCATACTAACGGGCTGATAATACTACCTCTGTTTTACAGATAAAAAAACTGAAGTTCTTGTTTGACTTTACACAGCCTGAAAGCAGCAGAATGAGCCAGGAGTTAAGCAAGGCCTGATCTTGTTTCCAAATCCACATTTTGAACCGACAGACTTGGAATGCTTCTCTTTGCAAAGAACTATGGTGTCTACTCTTCTGCCACAAACTAGAGAACATTTTTTGTAGAATTATTTTATTTTAACTTTATTATTATCTTCCAATTTGACCAGAGAGAGAGGGAAAGTGAGAAAGGAAGCCACTACGTCCAGCTCTTGAACCATGGTTGGCCATGTGGGAGTCCAGTGCCTTTAACCACAGGCCACCTACCGGTCCCAGAACATTTTTATTAACTTTACAGCTAACATCACAGATTCACTTAAAAGAAGTCTTTCTAAAAACAAAACTGCCTTGACAAATGCTGGAGGGATAGGATAGCTCTTACTGGTTATGATGAGTATGCATTTGCTCTTTTTTGGGGGGCGCTAGAGAGAGCATGAACTTGCCAGAGAGAAAGGAAGAAAAAGCTCCCTCTCATGGACAAGTTACACGGCAATATTTTCTTTGCCATCTCGCCCTCCTTTCAGGATTTTGGGCATGCCTCTGGACTCAACTGCATGAGCCATGTGGGATCTGACTGCTTAACTATCAGGTCATAGGGGCAGTCTAACAAATTCTCTCTTTAACACACACCATTTACACTTTTGCCTCCATTGTTCCATGCATGTCATGACCATCAATAATCTCCACATACTTCCAGTCGGCAGCCAATGCCCAGTCCTCATTTTATAATGCTTCTCAGCAGCATTTAACAGAAGTGACCACTAGCTCCTTGAGACATTTCTGGTATTCAGGACATCATACCATACTGGTTTTCCTCCTCTCTTACTGGTGATTCTTCAAGTCTTTTCTGCTGGCTTTACTTCCTATTACTGACCTCTAAATACTGGATAGTTTTAGGTCTTCTGTTTGTACACTCAACTTTCCAGGTGATCTCATATGACCATATAGCTTTAGTTATGTTCTATATTCTGGCCAATTTACATCCATATATCGCTTCCCTTTTCTAAGTGTCAAACTCTTATACTCATCTGCTTAACTTATGCCTTCACTTGACTATCTAGAGAGGCATCCAAAAATTAACACATCCAAAACACAACTCTTGATAACCTCTTCTCTTCAAACATGCTTCCTTTAGAATCATGATAAATACTATCATTCCCCATCTGCCCAGGTCAAAAACGCAAATATCCTCCCTTATTCTTCTTTTTCAAACCCAATACCCAATCCATCAGCAGGCCCTAATTTAACAGTGCCCAGGGGCCAGCAGATGGCATGGTGGTTAAGGCACTAGCCTCCCACACAGACTGAAACTTCAGGTCTCAGACTTGGCACCTTGCTTTCTCACTGTCCCTCTCTCCCTGGTGAGCATGTGTACCTTATAGAAAATTAAACAATAATAATAAATAAAAATAAATAATTCATTAAAACAAACAAAAACCCACTCACGTTACTTCCACTGCCACCATTCTATCCATGCTGCCATCACCTTTTGCCAGTACAACAGCCTAACTGATCTTCCTGCTTCCTATATTTCTTCAGAGTAACCTGGGTGCCAGAAGGTAGCACGGTGGTTGGGATGGCTGGATCCCACATAGTCAACTGTGTGGTTCAAGTCCCAGACCCAGTGGCTTGACATGCCTGGTATGTATGTGCCCAAAATCCTAAGAGGAGAATG